TCCTGATCCCATTTTTTGGGATACAGATCCCATTTTTTTTGCTCCTAAACCCATTTTTTTGGGGTTTTTTTGACTCCTGATCCCATTTTTTTTGCTCCCAATCCCATTTTTGGGGGTTTTTAGGGCTCTAAATGGGGTTTCTGGGTGGTTTTTAGAGGTCCTGACCCCATTTTTTGGGGTCCTGGTCCCATTTTTTTTGCTCCCAATCCCATTTTTTTGGGTTTTTTTGCTCCCAATCCCATTTTTTGGGGTTTTTTTGCTCCCAAACCCATTTTTTTGGGTTTTTTTTGTGTTTTTTCCCTACCTGAGGGGTTTCCTGTCGATGCAGACCCTGTCCCTGAGCTCCCTCAGGAACGCTGGGGGGCTCTTTAGGGGCATTTTTGGGGTCCCAAATCCATTTTTTGGGGTCCTGATCCCTTTTTTGGGGTTTTTAGGGCTCTAAATGGGATTTTTGGGTGGTTTTTAGAGATCCTGATCCCATTTTTTGGGGTCCTGATCCCATTTTCCGGGGTCCTGATCCCTTTTTTGGGGGTCCCAATCCCATTTTTGGGGGTTTTTAGGGCTCTAAATGGGATTTTTGGGTGGTTTTTAGAGGTCCTGACCCCATTTTTTGGGGTCCTGGTCCCATTTTTTTTGCTCCCAATCCCATTTTTTGGGGTTTTTTTGACTCCTGATCCCATTTTTTTTGCTCCCAATCCCGTTTTTTTGGTTTTTTCCCTACCTGAGGGGTTTCCTGTCGATGCAGACCCTGTCCCTGAGCTCTCTCAGGAACGCTGGGGGGCTCAGCTGCTGCACTCGGGGTCCCCGGAGCTGAGCCCGGAGATGCTCGACCAGACGGCGCAGGAACCCCACAAAGTGCTCAGCTGTCCTGATACTGCCCGGGACTGCCTCTGAAAGGGGGAGAAAACCAAAAAAAACGGGGAGAAAATGTGAAAAAATGGGAAAAAACAGCGAAAAAATGAAAAAAAACGGTGAAAAAATGAGAAAAAACGGTGAAAAAATGAGAAAAAACGGGGAAAAAATGGGGTCAGGGCACCCCAAAATTCACAGAAAAACCCCCAAATCCATGGGAAATTCAAAAATTCACCCCCAAATCCATGGGAACCCCACAAAGTGCTCAGCTGTCCTGATACTGCCCGGGACTGCCTCTAAAATGGGGAAAAAAGGGGAGAAAATGGGAAAAAACCAAAAAAAACCGGGGAGAAAATGGGAGAAAAACAAAAAAAACGGGGAGAAAATGAGAAAAAACGAGGAAAAACGGTGAAAAAATGGGGTCAGGGCACCCCAAAATCCATGGGAACCCCACAAAGTGCTCAGCTGTCCTGATACTGCCCGGGACTGCCTCTGGAATGGGGAGAAAAGGGGAGAAAATGGGAAAAAAGGGGAGAAAAATGGGAGAAAACCAAAAAAAACGGGGAGAAAATGTGAAAAAATGGGAAAAAACGGTGAAAAAATGAGAAAAAACGGGGAAAAAATGGGCTCAGGGACACCCCCAAATCCACAGGAAATCCAAAAAAAAATCAGATCCCAAAAGATCTCCCTGAACTGGATTTTGGGGTGAATTTCGAGGTTTTTGGGGTGAATTTTG